ACATGAGTATTTGCAGAGAAAGCCTCCCATTAAGAGATTTGGTTGTTAATTCTTTTTACTAGTTAAGCCCAATGTTAAAAACACAGTGGATTAGTTTATTCCAATGGCTATGTTTCAGAATCCTGGCCCTCAAAGAAAAAGAGAAATTTAAGATCCACTGGTGGTGTGAAGAACCTTTCTGAAAGACTCTGAAAGTTACCTTACAAATTCTAGGGGAAGCTGATTTTACCAGTATTTTGCAAAAACTTCTTGCAAAAGTCAAATGGCACAAGGTTCAAGAAAGGAAAGAAGGTAGTTTCTTTAATATATAAAACAAAAAAAATTACTACTTGAAAGGTAAGAAAAGTATGATGAGCTCTCTCAGCTTCCTATTGACTTGCATCAAGACAGAAAAGACTAAGCTTAGGGGAAAAATAGGTTTAAAATCAAGGCAGATATGTGCTCTGCTTGCTTTTCTGGTGGCCAGGCAAGGGTCTGTGACCCAGAAAGCTTAGATCACAAACACCAACTATAACTATAGATCTGACCTACCAAAATGAAGTCTGCAAAGATAAGCATGGTTATCATGAGCAGGAGGAGCACAGCAGAGTACCTGAGCACTGCAGAAACCAGCACAAGCCAAGGAGAGCTGATAAATGGAAATCTGTCACAGAAAAAGACGTTGGTTGATAGGGAATAGCAAAGAGCTGAGCAAGGCACGCTAGTGTAGCCTGAAATACAGCACCAAGAGGCACAATTTCAGACAGTCAGAAACCAAAATGCAAGAGCCTGTGTAAGTCAGCATCAGGAAGTAAAAAACATACTCCACAGGGCTTTCCTGGTGTATGATCAGGGTGTTTTGTGGATAAGACACAACCCTTGTATGTGGACACATTTCCCATGTCAGTGAGCTAGGACGCATTCCCATTCAACTGCTAGTGAGTAGGGAAGTCGGCAGGCAGATGTTTGGGAAGCTGCAGGACATCTACTGCCCACACCTCACTGAGGTCAGGAGGGAAACAAGACCCCACTCACCTACATTGGGACAAAAGTTTCAGGCATAAAAGCAACTTCTACTGTCAGCATCAGAGGTTTTAGTACAGACCCCTAGGAGACTCAGGAGTGTTTGCAAAGAAGGTTTTTAAGGATGCAGACACTGCAAAAATCCAGTCTTCCTCCTTGTGAAAGGTTTATGGTTTATGGATGTCAGCAGACAGTAGGAAAGAAAAGGAAAGCTGCTGCAATACAAAAATAGGGTCTGGTGGGGGGAAAGTGGGTGAAGAGGCATGCTTGAAAAGATGCCAGCATGAGAACATTAGAAAAAAGTTCCTAAAATTTTTATGTCCATAGTCAACCACAACTATCCGAATAGCATTGACAGAAATGACTAGACATTTCCCACCAGGGATACAAAGCAGACTCTCTCCGAGGCCAATTAGGTCCTTATGGCCAAACCTGGAAAAAGGAAACAGAACAGAAAAGGGGATACCACCAGACTTACTGGTCACCTCCAGGATGGCAGCAGCATCAGAGAGGTTTTCCACAAGGCAAGACTTACCTGGGTGTGCTGGCATGCACAGCTCTCCTCAAATGCAGGAAACTTTATTGCATGTCTGTAGCAGTGGAAAAATGATTTACATGCTCCTCACATATTAAAAAGAAGCAAACAAACACCTGTGATGCAGGTGATACATCATTAATAGTGATCAAGAAGCTTTTTCAGGGAATGACCTGGAATACTGAACTGTTTCCAAGAAGGAAGCTCCTGAATGCAGTCATTTGATGAAACAAGAAATAATCTCAGCTGCAAGAGATCAGTTCCTCCTGTGCCCTCAGTGGAGCAACTTCCTTATAAAAGCACAGTTTAATGGCAAAGCAAAGCCTCTGGGCCCTAAAGACCCAGGACTTTACATCTCACTGGCTTAGTGGGAGGCAAGGCAGAAAAAAGCCATAGCTCTTTTCTGTGGGTCTATAGGTCTGCAGTCAGAGAGAGGTAAAGGAAAAGATGGAAGGGTTATAATGTCTTGCTTTGCCATAAATCTATTAAAGGGTGCTTGAGAAAATTACCAACAAATGCAACTGCACTACCAAGTAAAGAGAATGCAATTTAGGGTGCAGGATCAATAAGCTCCCAGGCAGAAGTACAAAAAGTCTGCAGAGACTGAATAAGGATTGTTTAGCATTGTGCTGGAACACCTGAGCTCCTGCCATGTGGGTGGGCTGCAAACATCCAGATGTTTTGTCATGAGATGATAAGCGGATGCCAAAAAGAGATTTGGAATGCTACTCAAGAGACAGATGGAAATGAACTTCAACTCTTAACACTGCTGCCTCCCAAGCTGAAAACCAGATAGTGTAGTGGAGATTTACTGTGAGCAGAAAGTATTGCAGGCACAGGGAGAGACCAATAAGGCTGCAGAAGCAAGGAGAAGCCAACAGTGTAAGAGAAAATTAACTGGCTTTCAATTCACTTTACTTAAAGACCAGCATTTAATAGTGCTCCTATGAAAAAGGCTTTTCTGAGAAATAAAAGAATAGCTCATGGGAAATTGGTCTTTGACAAGATCTGACGTCCTTTAAAGTTGCTGAAATACAAAGGAACACACTAGAAAGTTAGGGTGTGACTATGTTACTGTCTCAGTTTGACCAGGAGAATGCTCTTGGAGAAAGTCTCTACACTGCTGCCAACTCCACTCCCCCAGGTTGAGCTTGACACATATAATTTAGATCCCTTCTAAACTACATAAAACTGGGAGATGTCCTCCAGCTAGTGACAGGCATTCAGCATTGGGACTGCACTACAACTACCCCAAAGACCCCAAAACAAGGACAGCACAGATGGAGGTTTCCCAGCAGCAAGCATTCACTGCCCACTGGTCTGACCTGCCCTAAGTGCAAATACGGCTTCAGAGAAGTGGTGTTGTGGGCCCCCAACATCAAAGATCTGAGTGCAAAGACTGTCAATATGGCTCCAGTAAGACTCTTCTGAATGTGCATTTGTGTCAGCATCCCCCCATCTCAGATGAATTTAAACTTGAAATATTATATATTGCAACAGGACAGGACAAGTAGAACCTGTGGAAACCACAGTTCCATGTCTGAAAGAATTAACAAATGTCCTGCTTAGAAACACAAACCAACCAAAATAAAGTAAGAGCAATTCTTGCATTTTGCCTTTATATTTGCACAAGCCTTCCTCTTTCAGCGTTCCAAGGATGTGACTCCTTTTTCCAAGTTTAGACTGTAAAAAATGCTTCCTAAATTCACTGGCACAGCAATGTTACCAGTGTCTTTGATAAAATTCTGCTTGCATACTGCTAAGACCAAAAATAAAGCTAACCTTTCTGGTGCTCCAGCATTAGAAAAATTGCACTATTTGTCTTTATTACATCTGATCAGATATTAAAAGCATGAACCCATTATTAATACTGTTTTATGAACTGCTGTCTCATATAGAATCTTGCAATTTCAAATACATCTGGCTCCACCAGCCTAATGATGATCAGGAGGCCAGTCTTTTACAGGTTTTCCCAATTTAGGACTGCTTTCCCTCACTTCCATTGTAACAACCTAGCTACATTAAATTAATATTATTTAGCTGAGAAAGCTTGCCTAGACAGTTATTTTTTTTTTAATGAGGGCAGAAGTCACTCAATTCTTTGTTTCTCCCTCCGTCTTAGAATGTTCATGTTCTTATTTCAAATAAGTTCTTACAAAGCTTTGGGTGAAAAATATGACAATTTAATGCATAAATGTCTCACAGTCTTCTGGTTAAGATGCGCTCATGCCTAACAGACATACTCGGATACTTGAGTAAAAGCATTTCAATTATGAAGGTGTACACCATAACAGTCAAATCTGAATATTGTTACCAGAGTATCACACACCTTTATTGGTATGACAATGTCTGCTTCACTACTCTATTAAGGAGCTTGCTTACCAAGTATACTTAACACACCTTGCTTTTTCTTGAGTATTAAGCTATTTTTTATTGGAAGAGGAAATTTTATGAATTGGCATACTTTGTGATTCTTATTTATATACAAGCAACTTTATAAGCAATATATACAAGCAACTTCATAGTGGAATTTCCAATATAGCCATTTTCAATAAAAATGCGTAACACACAATTCCAAGTATAATTGCAATTCAAGCCACCCCTTCTGCTTTCCACTGCCCAGCTGACTCTGAAGGTGCACAGCTGCTGCAGTGCACGCTCCTGCACATGACACTTTATTTGGAAACAGCTTAAAGGCAATATGTAATAAATAAAGGCATAGATTATCTGGAAAGCCAGAATAGTCTTAGCAAGAAGGCCTAATTAGCTGGACACACAATTAAGTTTGGTTTTGTCAAGGCCAGTCTGGATGGGGCTCTGAGTAACCTTGGTCCAGTGGAAGGTGTCCCTGCCCCTGGCAGGAGAGCTGGAATTAGATTAACTTTAAAGTCCCTTCTAACCCAAACCATTTATAATTGCATGGTCTATGGAACTTGTAAAATAAAATACAGAAAACATGAAAAGGCCCAAACACACACACTCTTTGCACATTTCAGTACTGTTTCGGATACCTCACCCCCAGCCTAACCAACAGCTTTTCTAGTGGTGGAACATTCACCTAAGGCAGGCGAAACACAGGTTTCCCACTCCCACGCTGTGTTCAAACACTTTAAAGGTGTTAGTACGGCCGGAGGCGGCCCCCAGCTTTAGAAAGCGACCTGCCCCGTTTTTGGGGTGAGAGCGGCGCCCGGCCCGTGGCGCTAACGCCGGGGCCACGCAGGGAACGCCAGCCCGGCCCATCCAGCGGCGCGGGCAGGGACCCGCTCTGCATGCCCAGCCCCGGCGGGAGACGGGCACTCCCGGCGGGAGACGGGCACTCCCGGCGGGAGACGGACAATCCCGGCGGGAGACGGACAATCCCGGCGGGAGACGGCCACCCCCGGCACGGGCACCCCCGGCACGGCCACCCGCAGGTCGCCCCGTGAGGGGCCCCGCCGGCAGCCCCGGGGCGATGGGCACCCACCTTGTCCCGCAGCGCAGCCGCCAGCACGGCCTCCGGACGAAGGTCAGCGCCGGAGCCGCCATAACCACGGGAAAAGAAGGTGGGAGGAGGGAGGAGACAAACCCCGCCCCGGGGATGGATCACCGCCTCCATGGCCGCGGAGAGGGCGGCCTGAGGGCGGGGCCGGGGTTTGCCTACTCGGTAAAAGCAGGCAGGCTGTGCTGTGCGTGGCGGTGCTCTGAAACTGTGCCCGGGAGGCACTGAACCATTTAGGTGGGAAAAGACCTCTGAGATCACCGAGTCCAACTTTTGACCCAACACCAGCTAAACCATGGCGCCGAGTGAACTAGCTGAACTTGGTGCGGTTGTTTCTTGAATGCCTGCAGGGATGGTGATGCCACCACCTCCCTAGAGAGCCCATTCCAATGTCTTCACTTTTTCCATGAAGAAATTCTTTGTAATGTCCAGCCTGAAGCTTTCCTGGTGCAGCTTGAAGCTACAGCCTCTATTCTGTCCCTGGTTGCCTGGGAGAAAAGGCCAATCCCACCTGGCTTCAGCCTCCTTTCAGGCAGCTGTAGAGAGTGATAAGGCCACTGTTGAGTTTCCTCCTCTCCAGGTTAAACATCTCTAGCTCCCAAAGTACTGATGAAAAGTGATGGAGAGCAGTTTAGTGCGCCAGCTCCCTCAGTACCGTTGGGTAAAATCCCACCTGGTCCCTTAAACTTGTGAGTCTAAAAGTGCTTTAGGAGCTGCTCTAGACCCTAAATGCACTCACAGCAAGGGTAACAAGAAGACCAGGCAGTTCCACATGCTGCAAATTCTGCAGGGTCAGAAATGGAATCAGCTGTGGCACAAACGTGGTGGTTGGCCACAGTTATCAGAGCAGTCAATGGAAAACGAAATGACAGCAAACTAGAACACTTTCATGAGCTTGTCTCAGTCCCCCAAAAGCAGCTTGTAGTGAGCATTGCATCATTAATTACAGCCACTTATTGTACTAACTTTCTAATTTGGAAGCTCCTAAAATGTTTGCATTCTTGTTTGTACACACAAATCACCTGGCAGGCTGTTGGTTGGCTTGGTGTCTGTACCTCAGTGGCACTGGTAATGTGTAGGGGCAGAATAAACACAAGTGTCTGCCCCATCTCCTTTAAAAGATATCACTATTAATTGCTCAGCTTTTGCTTTTTCATGTTCAGCTCCTGAAGCTATATTTAATTTTCCTTTGCTAGTGTGACTTGCTCTGTGAAAGATGTTTCTGTGTTTGCTTAGGTGCTCTGAAGATCCTCACAATTCAGGTAGACATCTAATAAAATTACCTTTTAGTCTGGGGGTATTTCCCCGCTCCTCTCCAAAAGTAAATGTGTTCAAGACTCTCCTCAAGGATAAATGTTTTGAAGCTGCTAATGACCTGTTGAGTTCTCCTTTCTTAAGTATTTGATTACAGTTTTCCAAATGGTATGTAACTGTTAGAGACTAGCAATCAGGTTGGCACATTTTCCCCCTCATACTGTGGAGCTCGTGAGGTGTGACCAGAGTCAAATCGTATGTAACTGACATTTTCTAATGTAGCCATGTGTTTCAAGTATGGATGTTCTTTGAACTTGATATATGACTTTTCCTTCTGATTACAGATCCAAAAGCCTAACATTTCTCATTTTCAGAAACAACCTTTTACTGCTTTACAGTCCTAGCAGACCTACTTAAAGCAGCTATTTGTGTTTAACCTCTCAGTAGCAATTTCCATCTCTGCTACACTAGACTGTGATGTGAAATTATTTCATATTTGCAGAAGGCTTTAAAAGCACTCTTCCAAATGTGCTGTAGTAAATACTTCTGTTGTTCTATATCTTTATTTTCCCCTATTCAAGCAAAACTCATGGCTTATAAATATGTAACTTGTTAGAGAGTATTTTGAACATAGAAAGACAAACTGTAGGCTATGTTTTGCTCTGAGATATAGGATCAAGATTTATTCTGTGAATAAGAGAAGAATTTGCCTCTAAAATGCTAGCATTTATTTTGTCAAATTAAAGGAACACTTTTTTAAACAGAAACCTTATGAACACAACAATTTTAGTCATGTTATTTGTAATGGCCAGAAAAATCACTACAGAAATGTAATGTAATTAATATCAATTGAAAGTTTACTGGAGTAGTATTGCTAGCACTAAAGTAATGAATCTAGAGAGGGCTCCCTAGAGGACTCATTTAGTAGGTTGCTTCAGATTTCTTATTTGACAAACAAGTCCCTTATGGCAATGCCCTCTCTAGCATTTTATTATTAATGGTAAGATGAATTTTTTTTCCTGGCTGCACTTTTATCCTTGGGTAAAACTCCCATGTTCTTTCTTTTAGTTCATCTTCACATTTTCTGCTACTGCCTAGAAGTTTAATTTTGCTTAATTTCTATTGCTGAATGTATGTCAGTTCAAATAGGCCAGGCTTTTTAATAAAGTCACACTGGAACTTCTGTAAATGCGTTTTTCAGTTTTGCCTGAAGACTGCAAAAAGGCATCTTTGCATTCAAAGATGGATTGCATACTATAGGATTAAATACAGACACCAGCAGTATTCTGTGCTTACAAAGAGTGGCATAGAGAAATTGTAAACTCAGAGATTTTTTTCTCTGTTCACCTCTCTAAGATACAGATCACAATCCATGTATTGTGTCTAGAAGAGTGTAATTTGCTCTATGTGTCTGTCTCTAGAAACCTATGCCTCCAGGTGTCCTCCTTCCTTTTTTCTTCTCTAGTTTTTCTGACAACTTCCTAGCATTCATCTCACTGCTTAGGTGAGCTAAGACATAACCACTCCCCCTTTTTATGAACAGTTAATCACATAAACCTCTTTCTGTCCTATAGGTAGTGTGTCATCACAGGTCCCCAGCTGGGTAATAATTAGCATTGACTCCATGATTCCAGAAGGCTGATCATTGCTATACTATACTATATACTATACTATACTATACTATAGAAACTCATCACTCTTACAGACAGTAAGATACAGACAGACCAGACTGGTCAATTGAATCCAAACACCATCACCATTGACTAATTAAGAAATCACACTTTGGTAAGCAAGTCTCCATAACACATTCCACCTGTGTCCACATTCCACATAATTTTGTGATGATTTTTGCATGGTTTTTGCATTGATGGTTTCAGACATGCAGGAGAGGGATTTTCATAGCTTTGCTGCTACAGTTAATCACTGATGTCTTTGGAATCTCCTGTGCCCAACAACAGGTGCTGCAAGTGAAGATAAGAATTGTTTCTCATTATTTTCTCTGATCTTCTCACAGCCTTTCCCAGGACAATGCCTGGGAAAGTTGTCTGTTGCTCTCTGTAGCCAGAGCTGCTGCTACATTGATGTTATCTTTTCCTTTTATATGTGAGGTAGTCTGTTATTTTACAGTTTGTTCTTCTGTAGTATGCTTTAATATTCCTTGTTATAAGTTTGTAATGGTTCATTCTATGTACCCCATTTGGCTTCCCTAATGGTTCAGTCCTGAGTTGTTTACCACAGCTTTCCCTGCCAAAATATATGTCAATCTACTTGTTAATCCACCTGTATACCTCCCTTGTTCCCTTGTCTTGCACCTGTCTGTCAAAGACAGCACACTCCTTTGGTTCTGGAGTGTTCCCTGTCTTTCATTCCTTCCTCGAAGGGATGGATTCTAAGGTTTGTTCCCTCCCTTTGTTGGCTTCTACTGGGGAGCCCTTACCCTGCACCCCTCCTGTAATGCCCTCCTATTGGTCAAAGGTTATGTCCTCGCTGTGTTCTCTCTTCCCTTTAAAAGTAACCCCTTCAGGTTCAGATTTGTCACTTGCTCTGCCTCACTTTGGGATTAAATCTTTGGAGACTCAGACAAGTGTCCTTCCCTTATTCCTCTGCCTCAGTTTCCCCGTGCTCTGTGCCCTGCTGCGCTCCCCAGGCCGCAGCGATCACCGCCACCTGCACTGGTCTGGGCAGAGACTCGGGGTGCCCACTCGCGTGTCTGCCCTGCGGCCACAAGCAGGACAGCCAGCTGGGGAACCTCCATCCTGTGGCTGCTGAGAGCCAGACACATATATGCGATATGGTTTCTCTTTCTAGCATGTTTTTAAGTGTTTCTTCTTTGTGATGTATTCTTACTCCTGGAGTAGCGATCTTGCAGGAGAAAGGTCACAAAACTCACAGCTTTCAGTGTGGCTCAATGTTATGCACTTTTGTTCTGTCCCTTTATGGGCACATATTTATGTACTAGAGAAAATATTGGGCCCTTCTTATGGAACTCCAAATCATGCACTAAGTCTTCAGACCACCAGATCCTGATGTTTTGTTTGCAGAATGATTGCCTGTTGTAATCTGTACTTATGTGCCATGTGTTTCAGCATAATTGCAGGTTCTCTGTTGTGTTGATACAAGCCTGAACTAGAAGTGTTTTGCGTAACTTTGTGGTGGAAGGGAGGAATGGTGTTGACACAATCAAAGCTGATTTTGATATACTGAGGTGATCACTCTATCATTAGTATCACCAGTCTCTTCTTCAGTTGTGCAACATTCTACAGTCTGACCAGCACAATCATCTTTTTTTTTCTTTTTCTGTGATAATCATTCTTGCATCTTTGCAATAATTTCTGTAGTTTTTGTGTTGGGTGTTTGATTGTTTTTCCTATAAATTTCCTAAAATTAACTTTTTGTAATGTTACTGGACTGAATTCAGTATTAAGGAGTTGAATATTTGCAGTTCTTTACCATGACAAGGCAGCTGTTCTCTCTTTGATGGAAATGTTTATTTGGAAAGCGGATGTGTACTTTATTATTCAGAACTTGATTTCCATGACAAATAGTTTCCTTCTTGAAAACAAGTCAAATCCTGCAAGACTTACTTTGTGATGATTTTAGCATGTTTTTTTGCATTGATGATGACAACCTCTTTCAGACATGTGGGAGAGAGATTTTCATAGCTTTGCTGCTACAGGGTAGAAAACTATAATATTAGCAAAGGGTCTTAATCACTGATGTCTTTGGAATCTCCTGTTTATGTGGGCTCTGTTTTTCCTCAGCATGAAGGATATGCTCAGTTCCTGACATCAGGAAGGAATTAGACTTGGACCTATTTACTTAAGAAGAGTTTTTTTACCAACAGAGAAATATAAACATGAGAC